TTTTATGCTCGAGTGTCCAATAACGCGTATTTCCCAAAACCTCGATACCCGCCCTCTTTGTCTTCGATCGAACCCCTTTTGGGGGGTATACCTTTCTTCCCTGCAGGCCGGGCCCCGGCAAACGGCGGGGCGGCCGCGGACCGTCGGCCTGGCCAGCGGCAGCGCTGATCGGAGGGGCGGCCGCGGACCGTCGACCCGACCCCCAGAGGGACGGACAGGGGACCGACCACGACGACGACGACGACGACGTAGTAGACGACGGCGACGACGACGACGACGACGGCGACGACGAGCGAAAGCGAGAGCGAGAGAGAACGACAGCAGGGCCACGAAGGACACGAAGTAGGCCACGAAGGGCGACAGCGGGGACACGAAGGGAATGCGTATGGGGCCACGAAGAGCGCGAACGAGCGGGGGCCACGAAGGGCAGATAATGCGGGGCCACAGAAGGCAACTATGGGGCCACTGAGGGAAGCAACTGGGCCACGTAGGACAGTGAGGGGGACACCGATGGCGACAGCGGGGCCACGAAGGGCATGCACATGGGGCCACAACGGGCGCGACTCCTGGGTGCCTGGGTGTCGGGAGCGCGGCGCTTGGGCAAATCGTAGGAAATTCCAACGCAAGGCCATTCTTCAGTAAATTGCAAGAAAGTCTCCAGCGAGAGCGCGACTCCAGAGCGCCAGAAGAGCGATTCCTGAATAAGTTGTAAGGAAGTCCAAAGCGAGAGCGCGATTCCTGAATAAAATGCGAGGAAGTCTCGGGCGGGAGCGGGGGTCCTGGCTAAATTGTGAGGAAGTCTCAGGCGGGATCCGTTGTTGTTGTAACCCGGGGGCCAGGGGCCCAGTTTGAGCATCAAGACTTTCCTGTCCAAAAACAGGGTGCGAGCGTCGAGGGGTACACTTTGATTGAGAAAAACAGCATGCACCGGTGGGGGGGGATCAACAACAATTATTCTTCAGAAAGGAGGATTCAACAACAACAACAACAACAACAACAACAACAACAACAACAACAACGACAACGACGACGACGACGACGACGGCGACAACAACAACAACAACAACAACAACAACAACAACAACAACAACAACAACAACAACAACAATAACAACAACAATCAGTTTAACACTGTTCGCCCTTATCTACTCGAGTGTCCAATAACGCGTATTTCCCTAACCTTCGATACCCCCTCTTCGTCTTCGATCGAATCCCTTTTGGGGGGTATACCATTCTTCCCTGCAGGCGGGGCCCCGGCAAACGGCGGGGCGGCCGCGGACCGTCGGCCTGGCCAGCGGCAGCGCTGATCGGCGGGGCGGCCGCGGACCGTCGACCCGACCTCAAGAGGGACGGACAGGGGACCGACCACGACGACGACGACGACGTCGACGACGACGACGACGACGACGGCGACGACGACGACGACGGCGACGACGACGACGAGCGAAAGCGAGAGCGAGAGAGAACGACAGCAGGGCCACGAAGGGCACGAAGTAGGCCACGAAGGGCGACGGTGGGGACACGAAGGGAATGCGTATGGGGCCACGAAGAGCGCGAACGAGCGGGGGCCACGAAGGGCAGATAATGCGAGGCGACAGAAAGCAACGATGGGGCCACTGAGGGTAGCAACTGGGCCACGTAGGACAGTGAGGGGGCCACAAACGGCGACAGCGGGGCCACGAAGGGCATGCACATGGGGCCACAACGGGTGCGAACGAACGGGGGCCACGAACGGCATACGCAGATTGGGCTGCAGAGGGCCAGGACGGGGCCACTGAGGACAGGGAGGGGGCCACGAAGGGCAGCGAGGGGGCCACTGAAGGCGACAGCGTAGCCACGAAGCGCATACATATGGGGCCACGACGGGCGCGAATGAACGAGCGGGGGCCACGAAGGGCTGACATATATGGGGCCACGAATGACAGCGAGGGGGCCACGAAGGGCTGCAACGGGGCCACGAAGGGGAGCGAGGGGGCCACGAAGGGCTGCAACTTTGGACGCCCGAAATGGGTACGGAAAGAATGGGCACAATGCCCAACAACAAATGTTGTCCCAAACCAACAGCGGCCGCTGTTGGGCGGGCGGCCTCCTGTCTCGAATGGACACAGGCCGCGGCGGCGTGGACAGCGAGCCCTGTTCAAAATGAACAGGAACTGCTGATGGGCATCGTGCCCATTCTTTCCGTGCCCATTTCGGGCGTCCAGAGCAACGGGCGCGAATGAACGAGTGGGGGCCGCTAAGGGCAGACATATATGGGGCCACGAATGACAGCGAGGGGGCCACGAAGGGCTGCAACGGGGCCACGAAGGGGAGCGAGGGGGCCACGAAGGGCTGCAACGGGGCCACGAAGGGCTGCAACGGGGCCACGAAGGGCTGCAACGGGGCCACGAATCAAAGCGAGGGGGCCACGAAGGGCTGCAACGGGGCCACGACGAAGGGCAGCGAGATCCCGATTCCTAGGTAATCTGTGAGGCAGTCCTAAGCGTGAGCGCGACTCCTGGGTGCCTGGGTGTCGGGAGCGCGGCGCTTGAGTAAATTGCGGAGAGAGAGAGAGAGAGAGAGAGAACAAAAAAAAAAAAAAGGAGAGAGGCGCTTTTCGTCAGTAAATTGCAAGCAAGTCTCCAGCGAGAGCGCGACTCCAGAGCGCCGGGAGAGCGATTCCTACATAAATTGTAACGAAGTCCCAAGCGAGTGCGCGATTCCTGCATAAAATGCGAGGAAGTCTCGGGCGGGAGCGGGGGTCCTGGCTAAATTGCGAGAGGCGGGAGCCCTTGTTGTTGTAACCCGGGGGCCAGGGGCCCAGTTTGAGCATCAAGACTTTCCCTGTCAAGAAAACAGGGTGCGAGAGTTGGGGGGGGGCACACTATTGAGAAAAACAATATGCACAGGTGGGGGATCAACAATAATGACTCTTCAGAAATGAGTTCAAACACAACAACAACAACAACAACAACAACAACAACAACAACAACCACAACCACAACCACAACCACAACAACAACAACAACAACAACGACGACAACAACAACAACAAAAACAACAACAATAACAACAACAACAACAACAACAACAACAACAACAACAACAACAACAACAACAATAATAATTAACAACAACGACGACAGCAACAACAGCAACAACAGCAGCAACAGCAACAGCAACAGCAACACCAACGACAACAACAACAGCCACAACGACAACCACAAAAACAAGTATAACAACAACCACAACAACAACAACAACAACAACGACAACCACAACAAGAACTACAACAATAAGTTAAAGACTGCTCACCCTTATATTCTCGAGTGTCCAATAACGCGTATTTCCCAAACCCTCGATACCCGCCCTCTTCGTCTTCGATCGAACCCCTTCTGGGGGGTATACCTTTCTTCCCTGCAGGCCGGGCCCCGGCAAGCGGTGGGGCGGCCGCGGACCGTCGGCCTGGCCAGCGGCAGCGCTGATCGGCGGGGCGGCCGCGGACCGTCGACCCGACCTCAAGAGGGACGGACAGGGGACCGACCACGACGACGACGACGACGACGACGACGACGACGACGTCGAAGACGACGGCGACGACGACGACGGCGACGACGAGCGAAAGCGAGAGCGAGAGAGAACGACAGCAGGACCACGAAGGGCACGAAGTAGGCCACGAAGGGCGACAGCGGGGACACGTAGGGAATGCGTCTGGGGCCACGAAGAATGCGAACGAGCGGGGGCCACGTTAGGGCAGATAATGCGGGGCCACAGAAGGCAACTATGGGGCCACTGAGGGTAGCAACTGGGCCACGTAGGACAGTGAGGGAGACAAATGGCGACAGCGGGGCCACGAAGGGCACGCACATGGGGCCACAACGGGCGCGACTCCTGGGTGCCTGGGTGTCGGGAGCGCGGCGCTTGGGCAAATCGTAAGAAATTCCAACGCAAGGCCATTCTTCAGTAAGTTGCAAGCAAGTCTCCAGCGAGAGCGCGGTTTCAGAGCGCCGGGAGAGCGATTCCTGATTAAATTGTAAGGAAGTCCCAAGCGAGAGCGCGATTCCTGAATAGAATGCGAGGAAGTCTCGGGCGGGAGCGGGGGTCCTGGCTAAATTGTAAGGAAGTCTCCGGCGGGAGCCGTTGTAACCCGGGGGCCAGGGGGCCAGTTTGAGCAGGAAGACTTTCCCTGACAAAAAACAGGGTGCGAGCGTCAAGGGGCACACTTTGATTGAGAAAAACAGTATGCACCGGTGGGGGGGATCAACAATAATTATTCTTCAGAAATGAGAATCCAACAACAACGACAACGATAACGACAACAACAACAACAACAACAACAACAACAACAACAACAACAACAACAACAACAACAACAACAACAACGACAACGACAACGACAACAACAACGACGACAACGACGACGACGACTACGACGACAACAAGAACGACAACAATAACGACAACATCAACATCAACATCAACAACAACAACAACAACAACAACAACAACAACAACCACAACAACAACAACAACAACAACAACAACAACAACAACAACAACAACAACAACAACAATAACAACAATAGCAGCAACAACAACAATAATCATTATTTAGAAATGGAAACTCAACCAACAACACCATAGTCGTCGTTACTCGCCCCCGCCGTGGTCATCGTCACCACCAGAACCATCATCATCCTTGTCTCAGTCTCAACAATAAGTTCATCATCAGGAGCAGCAGCACCACCATCACCACCACCCATGGTGGTCCAAGTGAGGCCGCTCCCGAGCCTCCTCCTCCTCCTCCTCCTCCTCCTCCTCCTCCTCCTCCCCCTCCTCGATCCTAGATCCTCATGGATCCTCCTCGATCCTCCTCGATCCTCCTTACCCGCCTCCTCCTCGTTCCTGGAGCCTCCTGGATCCTCGATCCTCCTCGAACCCCCTCGATCCTCGATCTCCCATGCCCCTCGCGTCAACGGTGGATGCCGAGGGCTCCCGGGAGGCGGCCCGGAGGGCGGGTCCTGGAAGCCGCCTGGCGGGGCGAGGCTCGCCCACTGCGACAGCTGCTCCGGGCGGCACCTGCGGGGCAGCGGGCGGCGGGCGGCACCTCGCCTCCGCCACGGGGCGTCCCGACGACGGGCAGGCCCCCCGACGACGGGCAGGCCCTCCTCGTCCTATCCCCTCCTATCTCGTCCGCCTCCTCCTATCTCCTCCGCCTCCTCCGATCTCCTCCTCATCCTCCTCCTCCTCCTCCTCCTCCTCCTCCGCCTCCTCCTTCTCTTATTTTTTCTCCTTACTATCATGATTACTATTAGTACAATTAGCATTAGCATTATTGTTCTTATACTTATATCATTATGACTAATACTAAAAGTAATAGTATGTATGCTTGTGTTCGTCTTCTTATTACCCTTAGTATTACTCGTATTATTGTTCTCTCTAATATCAATATTATTCATATGATTATTACTACTATTACAAAAATGTTATTATATTGATTCGTCATAGTAACCCTAGTCGTCTTCATACTATTATTAATGTGATTCGTCCTCCTCCTCCTTCTCCTCCTCCTCCTCCGCCTCCGCCTCCGCCTCCGCCTCCGCCTCATCCTCCTCATCCTCCTCCTCCTCCTCATAGCATTTATTGTTTGTAGCATTAAGAATATTATTACTACTGCTACGATGTATAAGTGTTACGATTAGTGCTGCTATTAGTATAAGTGTTACTATTAGTGTTGCTATTAGTATTACGACGGTTAGTATTAGCATGAGTATTACTACTACTACGACTACGACTACGACTACGACTACGACTACTACTACTACTACTACTACTACTACCACGACGACGACTACTCCTACTCCTACTACTACTACTACGACTACGACTACGACTACGACTACTACTACTACTACTACTACTACTACTACTACTACTACTACTACTACTACTACTACTACTACTACTACTACTACTACTACTACTACTACTACTACTACTACTACTACTACTACTACTACTACTACTACTACTACTACTACTACTACTACTACTACTACTACTACTACTACTACTACTACTACTACTACTACTACTACTACTACTACTACTACTTACTACTACGACTACTACTACTACTACTACTACTACTACTACTTCTACGTCCGAGTACTAGTAGTATTAGTTCTAATAAGTTTACAAACATTAATCATAATATTAAGATTAGTGCTATCAGCATTCATTATGTTTCAATCGTACTCTTAATATGTTTCGAGATAGTCGTCCGAGTAATATCTAAATTAACAGTGGCATTCCTATTAGTACTCATCTTCCTCTTATCAGTATGCTTTTCCTTACTACGAATACGATTAGTATTAGTCGTATTAGTATGCTTATTGTGTTCATATGTGTTCTTAGTCGTTGTACGATTATCAGTATTAGCATGGATCTTTTTATCAATAACCATTTTCGTACTATCCTTCATCGTATTATTATTAGTATTGACACTATTCTTGTTATACGTATAACTCTTGTTAAGAGTTCCCTCTTCCTCCTCCTTTTCCTCCTCCTCCTCCTCCGCCACCTCCTCCTCCTCGTCCTCCTCCTCGTCCTCTTCCTCCTCCTCCTCCCTCCTCCGCCTCCTCCCTCCTCCCTCCTCCCTCCTCCCTCCTCCGGCCTCCCTCCTCCCTCCATTCCTTTTCCTTGTAAATAGTCTCTCCCTGTAGTACCCCGAGACCAGTGCTTAGGGCGCGCCGGGCGTTTCGCCTGAGACTCCCTCACCACTTATGACTCTGAAGCTTGAAAATTGGCAACAGCTTCACGGATGCAGAGCGGGTCGTTTTCAAAATGTGGCTCTCGCCTGAGCGCGGCGCAACTTCGCTTTTGATTGCCAGCGTTTCACGGATTGAGGGCGGGTCGTTTTCAAAATGTGGCTCTCGCATGAGCGCGACGCACATTCGTTTAAAAATGTGCAAGACTTTCACGGATTGAGGGCGACCCGTTTTCAAAGTGTGGCTCTCGCCTGAGCGCGGCGCATATTCATTTTTAAAGGTTGCCCGATGTTCACGGATTGGGGCGCACATTCGTTTTAAAACTTTGCAAGAGCTTCACGGATTGAGGGCAGATCCTTTTCAAACTGTGGCTCTCACCTTAGCACCGCGCACATTCGTTGACACAAATTGCACGAGCTTCACGGATTCCCATCATCAACGTACCAGAAATAATGTGCTGAAAGGATTAAGGATTATGCGGGCGCAACAACGTTGTTTCGCTGTGCTGGAGTCCCGGGAATGGCGTTCTGGCACGATTCAGGAGTGTCAAAACGCCACAGTCAGGTTGATCCGTGGCGTTGGAATCCCGAGAACCATGTTTTGACATGCCTCCGGGTCCTTAAACGGTTATCTTCCAACGAGGCAGTTCCCTCAATGGAAATGAACGTTGTAGGGGCATATGAAGAGAGAGCCTGAAGGGAGGGTTAATTCCAATATCGTTCCTGACTCTTGGGGTTACACTGGTCCTCCTCCACCTCCTCCTCCTCCCCCTCCTCCTCCTCGATCCTGGATCCTCTTGGATCCTCCTCGATCCTCCTCCTCCTCCTCCTCCGCCTCCTCCTCCTCGCCCCTTTGCCTCCGTCGTCATCCTCCTGCCCTTCCATCTCGAGGGAGGGAAAAAGAGGAGGGAGGCGGAAGAGGAGGAGGAGGAGAACGACGACGAGGAGGAAGACGACGACGCCAAGGGAGGAGGACGTGGATCAAGGAGGAACGACGAATGGGGCCTCTGGACATCAGGGAAAAAGACGCGCACCACCACCACCACCACCACCACCGCATCCACCAGGGGGGGCTTGCAGAACCGTGCCATACCGGTTGTGCACAAACATGGTGCTGTCAGAATCAACACCAAATAATAAAGAACGGTGGGGCTTCTCTTGGCGGCGAGCGCGGGGGGGAAGCGAGAGGGAGCGGGCCTCCTCAGGAGGCTCGGAAGTCCTGAGAGGTGTTCTGAGCCTTCCCCGAAGGCAGAGAAAACTTGCCGGAGGGCTCGAGGGAGTCTTGAAGTCCCGGCGCCTTCCGAGAAGGCCTCCTCCTTCTCTAGAGTCCTCCTAGATGGGGTCCGAGTAGATGGGGTCGGAGGATCGCGCCGCATCGGCGATGCATCGGTGATACACTGGCGATGCATCGGCGATGCACCGGCGACGTCGGCGTGGAGAAATCGGGCTCCGCATCGCCGATGCATCGTCGATGCATCGGCGATGCATCGGCGATGCATCGGCGATGCGGCGCGATCCTTCGAAACCCGTCCACTCCGACCCCACCTGGGAGGCCTAGAGATCCTCACTCCCTGCCCCCCCGCGCTCTCGGGAGCGGCAAAGAGGGGGGTGTCCAAGAGGGGGGGGGGTGCAAATCATGACCGGCGGCATGTGCGCGGCCCAGCGGGGGGGCCGGGGACGTAATGAAATAAGAAGGGGCGCCATGAAATCTGGGGAAATATCATGGCCCCCGCCATGATATCCACCCCCCCTAGTCATCACCCCCCTCTTTTCCGCCCCCCCGCGCTCGCCGCCGCCCCCTCCGGGCCCCGGGAGGCCTCGGCCACGCGCCCGGGGGGCCCCCCACGGCCTGCCCCCGCGGCCGCGGCCCGAGCGCGGGGGAGCCGCCTCCCGAGCCCGGGGGCGGCTCCCGCTCTCCGGCGCCTCGGCGGCGGGATGCCCAGCGAGAGGACTCTCCCCCCCCTCCCCAGGAAAGCGCCGCCGCCTCCCTCCTTCCCTCCTCCCCCCCTCCTCCCTCCCTCCTCCCTCCTCCCTCCCTCCTCCCTCCCTCCTCCCTCCATCCCTCCTCCCGCCTCCCTCCTCCCTCCTCCCCCCCACGCAGGTGGGGCGACACCCGAAGCCGACCACCAACGGCCATCGAGTCCTCCCTGCATCGGCGGGAGGCCGGGGTGGGGCTCGGACTTTTTGAAGGGGCCCTGGGACACACAAATAAATGGACACAAAGAACGGGATTCCAAATGGTTTCCTACATTTTCTGAGTTTTTGTTTCCCCCCTTCTTCCCTTATTTTCCCATATTTTCGGGGAATCGACGATTAATTGTGTCTGTATGTTTTTCCCCTCCTGATTTTTGGCCACGCGCCCGACGAGCTCCCGAAGACCTGCCTGCACTCCTGCTCGGCGACGGGCAGGTCCGCGGCGAGCCTTTGGGGGGGGAAGTGAGCAGGAGCGGGCCTCCTCGGCAGGCGCGGAAGACCCCGGGCCCTTCTGAGAAATGCAACTCCTCCTCCTCCTCCTCCTCCTCCTCCTCCTCCTCCTCCTCCTCCTCGAAGCCTCCCCGAAGGCCTCCGAGGAGCCCCGCCGGCTTCTGAGAAGGACGTCTCCTCCTCCCGTCGCTGGCCGCCGGCACTGGCTTGCCCGAGGTGTTGGTCGGCGAGGGCAGTGTCCGGATGGCGCCGCCGGCCACAGCCGCACGTGACGCGCCCCGAGCGGACGCCCGCGGCTCCTCGGCGCACGGCGCGCGCGCCACTCGCGTACGGGCGGGTGCGCCAATCGCGTCCCCGAGCGCACCCCGTCCGCTGCGGCACTCCCAGCAGACATGCCACCCCGCAGCGGGGAGGCGAGAGGAGGAGGGAGGAGGGAGGAGGAGGAGGAGGAGGAGGAGGAGGAGGAGGAGGAGGAAGAGGAGGAGGGGGAGGAGGAGGAGAAGGAGAGGAGGGGAGGGGGAGGGGGAGGGGGAAGGGAAGGAGGAGGGGGAGGGGGAGGGGGAACGGGAGGAGTAGGACTAGGACTAGGGACTAGGACGGTGGCATGCCTCCGAAGAGGCAGGTCCAAGAAAAGAGGGCAGAACAAGGAAAAGGGGCGACCGCGCTTGACGCGTGTCGCTCAGCCCAGAGAACACAGAACAGCCAGCGCGCAAGAGATACCCCAACAAAATAATAAGACAGGGCTGCAGAGCAATCCTGCTAAAAAGGCGCTGCTGAGATGCGCTTGCCGAGTCTCCCCCGCAGGAGCGAGCACTAGCGCACAAGATGGGGGACCAATGCCAGACCAGGAGACACCACTGTTAGGTCCCCCAGCTCATCATATAGCCGCGCCATTGCTGGCAAAGCAGGGCCAGTGGACTGATTACTCTTTTGGTCCAGTCCCTGCATCAAGTTACCGAACCTGTACTTGCCGATGGACGATTCAGGACGCCTGTTACAGTTTGTGAAGGTTCCCAACATTCGCGGACGAGTACGAGCCACATTTTGTTTCCAGAAGACGGGCCTACCAGCACGCACGACTGCATGGCCGAACCCATGGGGGGCTGGACAAAGGGGCCCTATACAGCTCGAACTTGCACTAGCTGGAGGCCCGACAGGCTATGCCTAGGCCGGGCCTGTCCCCCTACGGAGAGATTTTGGGCGAAAAATAAAAAGGTAGTCAAAAAATACCCCAAAAATGGCAAAACATTGTCCAAAAATCGACCCCAGGCTGTTTTTTGACTATAGGCCCGAGTTGAGGCAATGCACCTCAACCGCTGCACGGAAGAGTCCCACGCGAAGCTCGCGTGGAATTCCCGCAGGCGGCGTCACAAACAGCTGCTGGAGGGGTGCTCGGCGGCGAGCGAGGAGGGGAGATGAGAAGGAGAAGGCAGTCTCAGAAGGCGGCGGGACTTCTCAGAAGCCCTCGCGCCTTCTGAGTAGTCTCTTCTGTTTTCGGGAAGGCTCAGAGAACTTCTGAGAAGGCCGGGGGACTTCCGAGCCTTCTGAGAAGGCCTTTTCCTTCTCACTTACCCCCCTCGCTCGCCGCCGAGGTGCAGACAAAGGAGGGCCAACGGCCCAGGGAGGGCGAGGAACCTCGTCGAGGCGCGGACAAAAAAAAACACGAGACCTTATAAAGTCCATGTGTCTGCCTGCGCGCTCCACTACAATACTCGACCTGCTCACACGTTCCACAGCAGCTGCATCAACGTGATGATGAAGGGGCCCTGGGACACACAAATGAATAGATACAAATAACAGGATTCCCAATAGTTTCCCATGTTTCTTGGGTTTTCGTCCTGCGTGGTCGCTCCCTGTCGTTGGCCAGGCGGCCTGGACAAAGGAGTGACACGGCGAGGTGGGCCTTCGCCTTGCGAACTCGAACGCCATCGCAACCGATGTCGGCAGATTTCGCATTAATGCGAGCCCAGACACTCGACCAAGATAGCAATAGGGAGCCGATATCTATACACCGACGCTTTTTCCGGCCCTGCATTGAAATTTGCCCTGGAGAGCGGATCCTGGTGTATACAAGACCCTGGTGTATACATGTTTCGTTGTTTCCCCGGGACATCGGGGAAACAAATATACAACACACCACCCCAGCGTCGTCCCCGATCCTCAAGAAGTCCTGGGAGTGCAAAACAGCCCGCCACTGATAATGTACATGTTCCAGTGTCCGAAGTGAGGATGCGCGGTAAGGACGCAAGGACCTTGGAACGCCATGTTAACGTTTTCCGTGCGGAGCGCAGCAGGATGCCGAAGGATGCCGAATACCGAAGGGGCAGGGATGCAAGGGTGGCCTTGGAAAGCTGCTCCGTCCTTACCATCACGGTTGACTGTATGCCCGAGTGGGGGCTCCAACCGGAGACAAGATGAGAAGATGGGGCGTGCCAAGATTCCACCACCCTCTGGCCGTCGCTGTAATAGACACGTACAAAACATGCCGCTTGAATCTGGCAACGCATGCAGCAGGAAGACCAGCAACGACAAAGCTTCCGCACAAGGCAGACACTAATAAGCACCAGGGTGAGCACAGTGGGCGGAGACGCGCGCACCGCCGGATGGCCCCACAGCAACCGCAGAGAAGCCGCAGCGCAATGCTCTCGGTGAAGGGCCATAGAGACCTGAACCGTCGCCAAAGACAGGAGACGCAAGTAGAGGCAAACCCTGCGGGTCACCGAAAAAGAACCACAAAATGTCCAACTCCATAGCTGGAAGTACAACCGCTCTGGATCAGGGACCAAAGCGGGGTACCAGAGCGGATCATCAGGAAGGAGAGCTCGAACATGTTCCACGTGAGCTGGCAAACCGTAACCTTGTCGAGCAGCCTGCGTGCCACCACAATCCCAAAGAAGGTGACGCATAGCAGAAATGTCATCAGCATGGGTAGCCCCGCACAAAGAACAGGGGATAACCAAACGCACGGCCCCGATGACGGATCTGAGTGCCACACCTTGAGGCCTCCCCCACGCAGGCGCAGACATGCCGATAGTACGAAGTGGTGGTAAATGAAATGGACCGGAGAGGTGGGACAGCGCGGGGTGGTGACGGGCAGTTTGCTGCCATCCCCATACGTCCGCGTCCAACGCCACCATATTCTCGACAACGCGGGGGGAAACGACAGAAATACCAATGTGCAAGCCAGAGAGTGGTGGATTGGAAGCTCCAGCCAAGATGCAAGAGTGTAGCCACATTAGACGACGCCGGGCCACGAAGGCTGTCCCAGCAGGTGGCTATACCAATATTGTCAATGGCCCGTTGAAAAGCCTCGTCCACGAGGTGCTGAGGCACCAGGGAATCCCATAAGAAGCATGATAAGTAATAACAACATCAGTACGAGCAGGAACCGCAGGATGTACGATCTGTTCAATAGTTACGGCCATGGTAACACAACGATGAGAACGTGAACACATAGAGACACGATAAGCAGACCGGATTTGCTGAAAATGCATACCTTAACTCCAGACCCAGAAAAAGCAACCGGCTGGATATCAGAACGGACAAGACGCCCCACGCAAGCCCCAGCCTTGCGTAGACGTGTCAGACTTACACAGAAACTGGCAGCTGAGCAAACACCGACAACGCGGTCAGGAGTGACGACGCGACACCTAGCGCCTGTTCAAGAAGAAACTTAGTAGTTCCAACAAGCAAACAATAAGGATCATCGGCTACTAAACCGCAGTAAGAATAACGGAACACTTCTCTACCTGCTGGTCCGTGCCACGTAGTAGCGTTGCTCTCATCAGGAGGTCTGCGAATGCACGCCCCGCCACGATGGTGCGGGTCGCCCGCGCGCCCCCTCCAGGAATGACCTGATCGGAAACGAAGCGCGGGCCAAGATACAGCTCGACCAAAAATCGTACAAGAACAGGATGGAAGCCCAACTCGAGAGCCCCTGGAGCCAAAATGTAAGACATCACGTTCTCGGAGGCCTTCTCTATGTCAAGTAGAAGTGCCAGACACTCCGCCATGACAGACTGCTTCCAGACGCACGCCGTACAAGAACGACCACGGACACTGTACAAACATGGTCGCGACGTGTCGCGAGGAGCAGGAGGAGGAGGAGAAAAAGGAGGAGGTGGTGGGGTGAAGGAGGAGGAGGAGAAAGAGAAGGAGGAGCAGGAAGAGGAGGAGGAGAAGGAGGAGGGGGAGGAAGAGGAGGAGGAGGAGAAGGAAGAGGAAGAGGAGGAGGAGGAGGAGGAGGAGGAAGAGAGGAGGAGGAGGAGGAGGAGGAGGAGGAGGAGGAGGGCGACGGCGACGACGACCTCCTTCTTTGGAGGGGCCCAACTGCACCGCCCCCGGGAGAGTTTTGCCTCTGTCCGCCGGGTTTCTTTTCCGCTATTTACGCTATAGGTAACTAGTTTGATCCCACCCCTTCCCCCCCGGCGGCAACAACAGCTGGGCGGGGATGGCAGCTCTCTCGGGGCCTCCGATGCCACCAGAGTCTACAGTCCAGGAGGACGACGACGACGACGACGACGACGACGACGACGAGGCGCTCAGGGCACCCTCCACTTTCTGGATGGTGGTGGTGGGGACCCTCCACCCTCTGGATGCTAGGTCACCAAACTTCCAGCATCGCGCCCAGCGATGCGTGACGCGCGGCTGTCTTCGCGCACTCGCGCCGATCGGCCGCCGACACCCTGGAGAAAGACGCCTCTCCGACCCAGGCCGCGGTGCACGAAGCACGACTATCTTCGCGCCCCCGGGGGAGAACCTAGGGACGGCGTGCACCCTGCGAAATGCTTTAGAAATCATGGGTTAAGAAATTCATAGTCTCAGAACTTGAATAAAAACCCAAAATTTCCATTCAAATCTTAGGATTTACATTGAAACGTTAAGAATAATCGAGACTCTGGCCGAAAACTTAGGTTTTCTTAAGCATCGCCCGAGGTGTGTGGCAAAGCCATGGACCCCTGGATGGACGGGAGCGGGCAGGCACCTGTTGTCGCCCTCGGCGCACAGAGCGCAGAGCGGAACCTGTCGGCCGCGGGAGCGGGAATCCCGCCGCACTGCCCCTCGTGCACGTCCCCCTGGCCCACCTCCTCCTCCTCCTCCTCCTCCTCCTCCTCCTCCTCCTCCTCCTCCTCCTCCTCCTCC